AAACTTCTCTGTAATGATCTCCATTGTAATTATATTTTAAGTATATTAATTTCCCTTATTAAAAATAGCAAAACTGAAGTGAGAAGAGATTAAGTAATCTAAGGTCCTATGATATGTTACAGTAGAAATGAGAATACATTAAAATCTCATCTTGAGGGGCGCCTGGGTGGCTCAGAGGGTTAAGCCTCTGCCTTCGGCTCAGGTCATGATCTCAGGGTCTTGGGATCGAGCTCCACATCGGGCTCTCTGCTCAGCGGGGAGCCTGCTTCCTCCTCTCTCTCTCTGCCTGTCTCTCTGCCTACTTGTGATCTCTGTCTGTCAAATAAATAAATAAAATCTTAAAAAAAAAATCTCATCTTGATGCATATTAACAGTTTATATTCATTTGTTTTAAAATCATTTATTGGGCGCCAGGGTGGCTCAGAGGGTTAAGCCTCTGCCTTCGGCTCAGGTCATGATCTCAGGGTCCTGGGATCAAGTTCCAAATCGGGTTTTCTGCTCAGCAGGGAGCCTGCTTCCCCCTCTTTCTCTGCCTGCCTCTCTGCCTACTTGTCATCTTTCTCTGTCAAATAAATAAATAAATCTTTAAAAAAAAGAATCAAGAACATATAAAATAATAATCACAAAGAGAAGAATAATTATGTCTACCATAGTCATATAACATAAATATAGATCAAGAAATCTGCTTAAAAATCACCTGCTTAAAAGATGAAATGGTCTGGCATAACTGATACTCACATTATGTAAATAATTTAATTTCAATCTGTATTTTGAAGACTTTTATTTTTTTAAAGTAATGTCTACACCCAGCGAGGGGCTCAAACTCACAACGTTGAGTTTGAGAGTCACATGCTCTACCAGCTGAGCCAGTCAGGTGCCCCTCAATCTGTATTTTAAATCTGCAATCAAAGCTCACCAGATGTTAAGGAAGATAGAAACTTTTTTTTTAAAGATTTGTATTTGCAGGGCGCCTGGGTGGCTCAGTGGGTTAAGCCTCTGCCTTCAGCTCAGGTCATGATCCCAGGGTCCTGGGATCAAGCCCCGCATCGGGCTCTCTGCTCCGCAGGGAGCCTGCCTCCACCTCTCTCTCTGCCTGCCTCTCTGCCTACTTGTGATCTCTGTCTGTCAAATAAATAAATAAAATCTTTAAAAAAAAAAGATTTGTATTTGCTATTTTCTTTTTTTTAAGATTTTATTTATTTGACAGACAGAAATCACAAGCAGGCAGAGAGGAAGGCAGAGAGAGAGAGGGGGATGCAGGCTCCCCGTCGAGCAGAGAGTCCGAAGCGGGGCTCGATTCCAGGATCCCGGGACCATGACCCAAGCCAAAGGCAGAGGCTTTAACCCACTGAGCCACCCAGGTGCCCCCGTATTTGCTATTTTCTTAACATACATTATTTTATATTATGTTTTTAAGATTTATTTATTTACTTGAGAGAGTGCAAGCGTGAGAGAGAGCACAAAGGAAGAGGGAAAAGCCAACTCTTCAACTGAGCAGAGAGCCCAATGAAGGGCTCGATCCCAGAAGCCTGGGATCACGACTCGAGCCAAAGGCTGACATTTAACCAGTGAGCCACCTAGGTTCCCTGTAAGATAGAAACTTTTGAGTGGTTATACTGTATGTGTTGTAAATATGCTGAAACTTCAGCTCTAAAAACCTCAACTTTTTCGTATAGACTTAAAGGCTCTTGTATCAAATATGGAAGTCTGACATTTAATCTGAAAGCACTGAGTACTTAGAGAATAAAAGCTATAAAAGCACTTTTGACACAAGGATTCCATCCACTAAAGCCTGGCGAGGGGGGTGTCTACCACTTGCATCACTATCATTTACAATATACTGGATAACAAAAAAGTTTAGTTTCAAAAATTTGTAAATACTGAAGATGTCCTGCAATACTGCTAATCAAATAAACTGACAAACCTCCAGCTATATTTTGAGTATTTCTCAAAAACCTCAAAAAAGAGAAAAAAAAAAAAGAATACATGAGTAGAATATGTTTGAGTAACATATGCTCAAATTGCTTTTTTAAAAGGATTTATTTGAAGTTTTATTTAAGTAATCTCTACACCGAACATGGGGCTCTACCTCATGACCCTGAGATCAAGAGTTGCACGTTTTTCCGACTGAGTCAGGCACCTCATATGCTCAAATTCTAAAGCTGCTGGCCACATATCTATAAATTTATTTATTTATTTATTTGGAGACAGAGCACAAGTGGGAGAGGGCCAGAGGGAGCGAGAGAAAGAGAATATTAGGCAGTCTCCATGCTCACTGTGAAGCCTGACACAGGGCTGGATCTCACAACCCTGAGTATCATGACCCGAGCTGAAATCAAGTGGGAAGCATAACCAACTGAGCCACCCAGGTGCCCCTAAATAATTTTTTTTATAGGAGTTGTTTTTTGTTGTTTTTTTTTTTAAAGATTTATTTATTTATTTATTTATTTGACAGATCACAAGTAGGCAGAGAGGCAGGCAGAGAGAGAGAGGAGGAAGCAGGCTCCCTGCTGAGCAGAGAGCCCGATGTGGGGCTCGATCTCAGGACCCCTAGACCACGACCTGAGCCGAAAGCAGAGGCTTTAACCCACTGAGCCACCCAGGCGCCCCTGTTTTTTTTTTTTTTTTTTAAGTGGAGAAGAAGTAAGCTACATTCTCCATAAATTCTCAAAGGTTGTTTTATTTTGTGAATCAATTCAGCCCACACCAGTTCAATAATGGTCATTAAACATTTTCCCTTATATACAGCCTTTTTTTTTTTTTTTTTAAGGCAAAAGACATTCATTAACTCACAGAGTTTCTAAGGATTAGGAATCTAAGAGTGTCTTAGTGGTTCTAGGTCAAAGCCTCTCATGAGTGGCAGTCAAGTTGTCATCTCTATATATAACTTTTTAAAGTTATAAAACAAAGAATTGACTGCCCCTGCCAAAGTTAAATTTCATGATCATGGTGAAGTAAGCTCCATTACATTTGTTTACATTGAAAAACCAACAATCTATCACTAATTCTCACATTTTAGTGCATTTTTTATGTAAAATACTTTCAAAATTGTCTAAATTACACAAACTTTACTTCTAACACTACATTTAAATATATCTGAAGTCCTACATAATTGAGTTCAATTTGCTAAAGCAAATGAGCCTAATCTTATGAAGATTTCCTGGGGCCTTAAAATAATCAATATTTTTTTTATTTTATTTATTTATTTTTTTTATTTATATGACAGAGAGAGACACAGCAAGAGAAGGAACAAAAGCAGAGGGAGTGGTAGAGGGAGAAGCAGGTTCCCCACTGAGCAGGGAGCCCAATGGGGCTCAATCTTCATGACCTGAGCCGCAGGTTCAGCATGCTTAACGACTGAGCTATCCAGGCGTGCTTATAATCAGTATTTTTTAAAGTCAAAAAAGACACAAAATCTGAATAGAGTATGCGCTAAATTATGCATTAACCATAGTACAAGATAATGAGCGAGATACATTATTCTTAGCCCCCTACTGAAGATCAAATTTGTTTCAATTTACTATCAGAAATTAAGTTAAATAAGCTAGGGACTTCATGTGTCTAACACTGAAAAAGGAAAAAACATTTCTTAACATCCTATCATAAAGGAAAAGTGCTAGAGAAACTTCCCTTCATAAGCATGCCTCAAACATCCCCTACAGTGCCTTGATAAAAATGTATCATACAGGAAAACATAAGCTTTTAAATTAGATTCCTTATGGTATCTTTTCCATTTGAATAAATTACAATATGCCATGGAAGTCCCAGGAATTAATATTAATAGAGTTAATATTAATTTTTCAAGATTACTCCTAATACTAGTATTTATCATTATTACTACTTCTTTGTAAGAAATAATACATGGCATCCAGCTCCCTAAATACTTTACAATCAATCTCCTATCTCCCCTTTCCCCAAAATAGAATGTTGACTCTATTCCATTTAGCCAAAAGAAAACAGCAAACACATCTTTATGGTCTTTCTGGCAAATCAGTGTTTAGAAACCAATGCAACTGTTACTAATGGCTCAGAACCAAACACTGTAACAAAACACACTGAGTGGATCCTCCCTGTGTGTGTACATGCGCCCATTCATAATAACGTGATCCTCATACATGCATTCAAAATCTCAGTTTCTACTAAATACCAGAACACCTCTACATAATACACAGCATATAAGAAAACTGCCCTCTTTAATGTTCAAAGAAAGAACAATTTCTACAGCTAAGGATGAGAAGAGTTAATACCGGGATTGCTGCCACCTATCAACTTTAATTCAAAGCAAAGTACAACTCAATGTCATTTTTACCTCTAACGCTGCCACGCTGAAACAAAATTAACTTCACTGTGCGATAAAGTATGCTGGCATCCCAATGGATTAGTTACTTCCCTGATTTGACATTACATATTTGTGGAGTCTTTTGTCCCTCCCACAGCATCCCAGAGTGTCAACAGCGTCTTAGTTAAGGCAAATGACGGGCAAATCCCTCAGGTCATTACTTCGCACCCTAAGTACCAAAAAGTCATGGCCTTCATGTCGTTACTACACAGCGAACACTGCATAGTCCCATTACCCCTTCTATTATATTTGGGGAGGTGGGGTGCGAAAGAAGCGCTCCGTGTATCCAGAGAACGCTGTGTTCAGTCCTGGTACCAGAAGCAGCACGAATACAAGTAATATGTGGGTCACCCACAGAGAGAGAAACAGTGGAAGCTTCGTGACCCTCCAAGTTCAGTGAAGACACCAAAAGCTTCTCAGGAAACGGGGCACAAGCCTTCGGGGAAAGGGGCAGAAGCAGAAGGTCTCCTAGGTGGAGTGACTACCTCTGGCACAAGCCCAGGGCGTGGGCGACTGAGGAGTCGCTCGTACCCTTCCCCTCCGCACCAGGGTCGGTCACTCCGCGAGGGGTGCGGCCCAAGGAGGGGGTCAGGACTGGGAGAGGGCGGGGCCCGGGGCACCCCAGCGGCCCCCTGGGGGTTCGGGGGGGGGTGTGTCCTACCTGGGCCGTGGCGGACGCAGGGATTTGGGGTGGAGGGCTCGGATCCAGCTCAGGGCCAGGACCCGCAGGGATCAACCCTCAGCAAGCGGGACCGCCGCCGCCTGCCCATCCCCCGCCGCCGACTGCGGCGGGACCCGAGCGCGGCTTCGAGGGCCGGCCGGCTTGGTAGTCCCCTCGGGTACCGTCCGCGTTTACTGGCGGCGGCGGCGGCTGCTGTAAATGCTGCTGCTGGCCGCCCCCAGCCGCTGCTCTTGTGCCAGCCCCTGCTCCCCCTCCTGCCGCCGCCGCCGCCTCGTCCCCACCGCTCCCATCGCCGCTGCGGCGACTACTGCAGCGCCCGCTGACCCGACCCGACGTTATTCTCCCCCTTCGCAACCCGACACAGCCTAGCCCACCTGCCCTGCCAGTACGCACGCCCACCTCTCCGCTGCAGGTGCTGATTGGAGAGCGCGTCCCGGGCCCGCCACGTCGGTTGGCTGATACCATTGCCTATCACGAAGTGGGCGGAGAGTCAGGCAGGGAGCATCTCCGCCCCCCACCGGAGAATTGCCGCTATCTTCAGGTTTGCCTGAGAGAGCGAGTTACCGGGAAAGGAGCATCACAATGGCAGCGCGCATGTGCACGGGAATTCTGGGCCTTGTAGTTCCAGCCGCAGCCGCAACTGCCCGCTGGTCCAGAGTCGAGAAGTAGAGCTTCTGAGACTAGTGGTTGGCGCACAGCGGTGTCCTCCTAGCTCAGTAGTTAACTTGCTTATAGGGGCATGATTGTGACCCCAGGACTGGGCTTTTGGGAAGAAAATCGGAGATACGTTGTCACATGACGAATTCACACCCTGAGATGGTCACGAAGAAGGGCCCCAAATCGTGAGGCCCTACCATGCCTCCTCCTCAGAACCGGAGCTGCCAGGATCTGACAAATTGGCTCTGTCCCCAGAACCGCCTAACGTGAAGCTAATCACCAGCCGGCACTAGGGAGAGGCCTAAAGGTATAAGGAGGAAAGGAGACGGAGACCTCCAGAAAAGAATACCAGCCTGGAGCCCGAAGTATTCTTACAGTTTTTGCAACCCATGAAGAATGAGATTACCTTCCGCTTTTCAAACACCATCAGGGAAGGGTTCAATGAGCATCCCCTGCGAGCACGGGCATGGGAATCTAAGCAAGAGAAGGCGGGAGTCCCTCTAAGACTCCCAAGGAAAAACGAGGAGAGCAGAGCAATGAAGTTGTGTGGGATAAATTTGTATTAGGCGTTGATTATGTCAAGTTCTTTGGTGAAGAGGAATCCTTAAGATTAAACCGCTCCCATCCACCACTTTACAGAAGAAAATCTCAAAGAGGTTTAACAACTTTCCAAGGCTATAAAACTAATGATTGACAGTACTAAAACTCAGGTCTCTTAAACTTACTTCTGTGTCTAATGCCTTTTTTTTTTTTTTTTAACTTAATAATCAAAATGACGCCCAGGAGTCTGCCAAGGACTGAAAATATGCAATGACTTGTGAGCTTCGTTTTACTTTAGTCTTTTTCTTCACTGAAATGACATTCTGATTAAAGCTGATTAATTAAGAGTATGGAAAGGTTAAATATAAATCCTATATTCAGTCTCAAAACTGTTACAGAATCTGTTTCTTCTTGTTGAGGAAATGCCACAGCTTCTCGACATTCTTAAAAAACAAACAAACAAACAGCAGATACCTCGACTGTCTGTCATGTCTAGATCCTTGGGTGAAAAACAGGACAAAGTGTACATTAAAGGCAATTGATGATGCAGCTCATCTTGTTCTGTTCAAACTTAAAGAAGATGCCAACTTGTCTCCTTTCCACTGATTAAAACCACAAGTTGTTTTTCCCATTACTTTGTCTCACAGAATATATTTCACTTCACAATATTGGCTGGGCGAATAATTTTAATTGGGAGGGATTAGGGTTCCTGCAAATGCTTTCCTTTAAGATTAAAGAAGTTTATAGGGGAAAAATATCCAAATTCCCTGAAATTATATCTAGCAATATTTCAAATAACTATTCTCTGTTCAAAGAGAATATTTTTCACTCAGCAAATTCAGTGTTCAAGCTACCCAGATATAATGTCTGTTATCATGGATAAGGTTTTTGTTTGTTTGTTTGTATGGGGGGGTTTGTTTTGTTTTGTTTTTTAGAGGGAAGAGAGCGCTTGACAGCTGGAGGTGGGAGGGATGGGGAGGGGCAGAGAGAGAGGAAGAGAGAGATTTTTTTTTTTAAGATTTTATTTATTTATTTGACAGACGGAGATCACAAGTAGGCAGAGAGGCAGGCAGAAAGAGACGGAGAAGCAGGCTCTGAGCAGGGAGCCCGATGCAGGACTCAATCCCAGGACCCTGGAATCATGACCTGAGCGGAAGGCAGAGACTTTAACCCACTGAGCCACCCAGGCGCCCAAGGGAGAGAATCTTAAGCAGGCTCCACTCTCAGCACAGCAGAGGCCTGGGGGCAGAAGGGCTCCATCCCACAATCCTGAGATCATAACCTGAGCCAAAATCAAGAGTCTGTTGCTTAACTGACTGAGTGACCCAGGCATCCCGGTAAGGATTTTGATTAATGTATTCACAGAATTACTATTTTATTTATTTTAAATGATTCAGTAGATACACCTGGATTCTCCAAATATGGACAGATGATTATTCTTCTGATTGTTATTTTATAACCGACTCCATTTGCAAATCCATGAAGGGTTAAGATAAATAGAAGAGTATATGAGAAAGAAAACCAGTAGCTGCATATAAAGAATGAATTTTTATTTTAATGCAGTGCAGAGAGAAGTGTTCTATGATGAGGATCTTGAGAATAGGGCAACAGTGTATCCCAGAGCAGGAAGTGTAAGATTGAATATATAGTGAAAGTTAATGCCACAGGAGTGGGAAGCCTAGGATAAGGGACTGCTCAAGGAAAACAGCTTCCCAGGTCTCCCTTTTTTCTCTGATCTTTTCCATTTAAGAAGTATTGGGCTGTCCCAAGAGGTATTTGTTCAGTTAAGATAAATGGCAAAGTAATGTATTATTCAAGAGCTGGCACTGGAATTCTGGAATCCCTTTTGAGATCGATTGATCTATTATGAGTTGTTGTTTTTTTTTTTAATAAATATGGTAGAAAGTCTCCACAGCGAGCCCCCAGTGATCTTTACCTCCTGGTATCTTCACCCTTGTGGAGTCCCTCCATACTGAATTGGGCCGACCTGTGTAACTAATAGGCTTTTTCAGAAATTATAGTGTGTAAATTCCAAGACTAGGTCATCAAAGACTTTGCAGCTTCTGCTTTATGCTCTCGTGGATCACTTACAGGGAAGCCATTTGCCATAGTAGCAGGATGCTTAAGCAGGCGGCCCTTAAAAGTGGCCACCTGGCAAGGAACAGAGGCATTACATAGATAATCAACACCAGTCTGTCAACCATGTTAATGAACCGTTCCTGAAAACAGATCCTCCACCCCTTCAGATGACTACAGGCCCAGCTGGCATCTTGACTGCCACCTTGTGACCTACCCCAATCCAGAACCACCTAATAAGCCATTCCCAAAATCCAGACCCACAGAAACTATGTGATATGATAAATGTTTACTGTTACTTTAAGCACTCAGTTTTGGGGGACAATTTGTCATGCAATAATTGATAACTAATACAGTAAGATTTATGAAAATAATAGAATGAGAAATGATTTAAGTCTAGGGATATCTGCCCTGGATACTTGAATCTGAAAGAATGAGACTTTCATCCTAGGACCAGTCTTAGCATATTCAAAGATAATGAGCAAATTTCAGATTTATACTGATTCCCCACCCAGAACATAATGTCCCTTTCAACCAGCTTCTTTTCTCCCAATGCAGAATAAATAACATATTTGAGAACATTTTTTCTTTCTCCTTTTCTCCATTTGTGGCCTCCTCTACCCATCTTTAGACACCCATTGATTTACCACGTTCTAAACTTCCCCTAATCTAAACAGGAAACAATCTAGATGGGTTATTTGTATCATTATCAAAAGGACTGCAGGGGATGGGATGCCTGGGTGGCTCAGTTGGTTAAGTGCTCATGTCATGATCCCAGGATCCTGGGATAGAGCCCCACATCAGGCTCCTTGTTCAGTGGGGTGCCTGCTTCTCTCTCTGCCTGCTTCTCCCCCTGGCTGTGCTCTCTCTCTTTCTGACAAAGAAAATCTTTGAAGTAAAAATGGACAACAGAGGTGACTGCATGGCTCAGTCGGTTGAGCGACGGACTCTTGGTTTCAGGTCCGGTCATGATGTCAGAGCTGTGATCTCAGGGTCCTGAGACTGAATCCCACATCCCATGTCCAGCTCGGTGGTCACTGGGGAGTCTGCTTATCCGTCTCCCTTCCTACCCTTCTAACCAACCCCCAACTCAAATAAATAAATAAAATTGTAAAAAAAAAAAAAAAAAGACAACACCACAAACACCACAGTATTAACCAGTGTGCAAGTCAAGGAAAAGAGACCCCTTTTCCCTTCTGCTTTCCATCTCTCCCTTCAGAAACAAATCTCATCTTGTACACCTGATACCAGTATAATGTTATGTCAATTATACCTCAAAAACAACAACAAATCTCAGAATCATATATTTTAAATGGGTGGATTGTGTGGTATGTGAATTATACCTCAATAACTCTGTTTCTGCACAGTCCTTTGAAACACGAACAATAGTGGACTGGTGCTCAAGTGATTCCACAAACCAGGAAACAGCCCCATATTTTAAATTTTTCATCAGTCTTACGAGTTTCTATTTGAATCTTGCTTGACCCACTAAATGAAAAATTTTAGAGCCTATTTATGCCAACTACTCTGCTAGGTACCGGGGAAACAAACATGAATAAACTCAGGGCTCGTTTCAACAAACACGTAAACCCTACTACAATGCATTGTAACAACTCCTATGAAAGAGGTATATTCTGTAGCACACATAGATGCTCTAGAACAGGAGTCAGTAAACCATAGCCTACAGGCCGGTCCTCTGAGAGCTTGGCGTCTTGAAGCCAGTGTCAGCTGCGTTCTCATTTTGA